TGATTTAATTTTTGTATCCTGGACTTTATTTAATAATTCGAGCTTTTTTCTTTTTTTTGTGGCGTTCTTAAGTTTTGTGTATACTGCATAAGATCTGAGAATACTGATAATTTTAGGTTTTTTTTTTTCTCTGTCTTGTTCTTTGTTTTTGTTTTTGTTTTTCGAGACAGGGTTTCTCTGTGTAGTTTTGTGCCTTTCCTGGATCTCGCTCTGTAGACCAGGCTGGCCTCGAACTCACAAAGATCCACCTGCCTCTGCCTCCCAAGTGCTGGCATTAAAGCCACCACCGCCCGGCCTTTCTTTTTCTTAATTGACACTTGGAAAAAAGATTTTCATAAAAAACAAATATGAGAAATACAGTCCTATAGTACTTTGAATCTGAATAAAATGTTGATCTATGATTAGGCTAGACTTTCTTAGTATTGTACATAAGACAACTAGAAGGGTTTTTGTTATTGTTTTTGTTGTTTTGGTTTGTTTTGTCTTTTATTGTGAATTAAAAAATAAATACCTCTCCCTTCAAGAATAAGCACTCACTGTTGTCCAACACAGAGTGGCCAGCCTTGAAACCATTTACATACCATTCACAAAGATGGACTCAGCAGGTTGTGTTTATATATATATTTGTGATTAAATATCTTTTCTTGCCTATTGCATTTGACTAAATCAGCTGTAGTCAGTGGAGAAAGTACCTGAGTGCTCCACCCTCTGCCTCATGCTAGTTTTCTGTGATCTGGTCCCTTATTCCAGTGGGACTACTGGAATAGTCCAGTATTAGAAACTTTGACTGCAAACTAGGCCTGTATTTTCCTCTTCATTAAGGAAATGTGGGCTGCTTTGGAGAGTAGTAGAGCATTTAAGCAGAGCTGGGTTAATAGTGAGATTTAACATTTTTTTTTAGGCATTTATTTTCTTTATTATCCTGATACCAAATCCGTGAGATGGAAATTATTATTTTATAGAAAACACAGTGACAGAGATGGATTTTAAATCTAAATAGGCCTAATTGTAGAGCTTGGTGGCTGTGGAGGGTCTGCTCTTTGGGAGCTTGCCATGGGCACCTCAAGAGGCTTTGCAACTCTCACAGACTAGGTCTTTAAACTGGGTGTGGCTATGTGCTAGGCTACATAGGTCCTTCTGTCTACCTACATGTAGCAAGTGTTTCTCTAACCTGCCAGCTAGCTCCCAAATCACGACATGGAGACTTATTATGAAAGCTCAGCCAATAGCTTAGGCTTGTTTTTAGCTAGCTCTTCTAACTTAAATAACCCATTTCTGTTAATCTATGTGCTGCCCTGAGGCTCATTTACCTCATCTACATACTGTCCATCCTGCTTTCCTGCTTCCTCCAAGTCTCCTTTGTCTCCTCCCTGCTTCCCAGCGTCCTCTCTGTGCCTGGAAATCCTGCCTAGCTATTGGCCATGCAGCTTTTTATTAAATAAATCAGAGTGACATATCTTTACACAGTGTAATCAAATATCTTCCAATACCTACTGTCCTTCAGTGTGGGCCTTTTTACGTTCAATTATTAGTTGGGCTCCTACCCCAAGCTGCTTATCACTTGGATTCTAGGGGGATGCACTTCAAATTTCAATAGGTGGTCACCGCTTTGGGAGGGAGACGGTGCTTTTTTTAAAGTTTAGATTCCCGTGACATGCAGGGTTGTGCTTTGCAGTGGGGGATAGTGTAGTGGTTACTTGAGCAGCAGGAGCATGTTCTGAAGCATAGCATCGGGCCGAGCTTGTTACAGCTAGCACCTGTTTCTCGTCCTAGGATTTTCTTTTGTTTCTAAGAGTCTGTGGGTACTGTTGGTCCCATTTCTGCCATAGCCTTCCTTGTGACTGATTTGGTAACGTGCCTATTCTAGTTTCTAGAACTAGGCTGGCATCACACCTGCCAGACTTCTTCCAAGGATAGAGTTCTACCTTGCCTCTTGGCTGGTGGATTTCCAAGTGTCTCTGTCTTCACTGAGCCTGAGCTCTTCGCCTCTATTGAAACCCTGTCATTTTTATTTTGTGTCTTTAGTCACCCTGCTGCCTGTGGTTATGGTGAAGAATACGGCCTATTCCACATAAAGGGTAAAGGGCAGAAGGTTTAAAAGTCTCCCACGTGTGATCCTCCTGTCCCTCCCTCTGTAGTCTCCTGGCTGTGTGCCACCTCTGCTCTGGGGGATCTTGTGTTCCTTCCTGGCTTGGAGCTTCCTCTGGTGCACTATAGAGTGACGTGTGGGTAGACCGAATGTGGGGCACAGAAGGTTGCCTCGTGGCCTGTGTCCTTGCCTTGTGAGCATGCTACTGCCAGATGTGCTCTTGAGCTTGGGACACCAAGCAGGTGTGGAGACGATGGTTTGTGTCTCAGGAGAAAGAGTGGGAAGCCCTCATTCATTCACCAGCCCACTTGTGAGTGATCGCTGAGGTCTGCTGTGTCATTTTTAGAAGCATAGTGCTACAGCCTGGGTCACAAAGGTGAACAAACATCATTTTGCCTCAAGGATTTTATACTCTCGTTGATAAGATAGATACAGTCAGGAAAGTGAGGTATTCTCATACGGCAGTACTATATGGAATGTTCTGGAAGCGCCCAGGAGAGACAGTTGACCCCGCAGTGGTAGAAGACGACATAAGAGCATCCCCAAAGTGACCGTGCTTAGCCTTGCTTAGCCGGGCCTGCAAGTTCATTTCCACCTAAGCAATGGGCTCCTGGGGCGTTTGGCGTCAAGCTCAGGCTTTTCTGCTTTTCCTTTTGTGACGCGCTGTCTCTGGTCTGCTGGTCTCTGTTTGATCTTTGTGCTATTTCAGTGTCATTCTTTTGAACAGTTCGAATCAGAGGTGAGAAGTAGTAGGTGGTTTCTGTCCTTACAGATTCAAAAGGGATGAAAAGAGACATGGCAGAGTACGTGGATCAGATCTCTAGAAACTAAATCAGTAAAAAGTGTTAGTTTGGGACATTGCTGTTACCGTATTCTTGGTTTCAGGTGAAAAGTTTCTGTTACTGAGTTTCAGTGTTCTTAAATTAAGATAGTATAGGATTTCACATAGTCCAAGGGTAAAGTATTAATTCGGTATTTTAAATCTTGCTTTCTTATTTTTAATATATCTGTATATTATATGTATATGAAAAACCAAATATATATATTTGGTTACACAGAGACATGTTTTCTTTGTATAACAGTCCTGGCTGCCCTGGCATTTGCTTTGTAGGCCAGTCTGACCTTAAACACACAGGGATCTGCCTCCTGAGTTCTGGGATTAAAGGCATGTGCCACCACGCCTGGCTCTTAAAAGATATCTTTAATTATGTGTATGTGTATGTCTGTGTGGGGTGTGTGCATGTGAGTGCCATGCACAGGGAGGTCACGAAAAGGCATTGGAGCCACTAGAGCTGGAGTTGCAGGTGGTATGAGCCACTTGATAGGGGTATTGGGAGCCAATACCAAACTTGAGTCCTCGGGAAAAGAAGTACACATTCTTTTTTGTTTTGTTGTTTTTCCAGACAGGGTTTCTCTGTGAAGCCCCGACTGTCCTGGAACTCACTCTGTAGACCGGGCTGGTCTTGAACTCACAGAGATCTGCCTTCCTCTGCCTCCCAAGTGCTAGGATGAAAGGTGTGCACCCCAACTACCCCAACATGGATGTTCTTTTTTTTTTTTTTTTTTTTTTTGGTTTTTTCGAGACAGGGTTTCTCTGTGTAGCTTTGCGCCTTTCCTGGAACTCGCTTTGGAGACCAGGCTGGCCTTGAACTCACAGAGATCCGCCTGGCTCTGCCTCCCGAGTGCTGGGATTAAAGGCGTGCGCCACCACTGCCCGGCTTGGATGTTCTTTTTTTAAACTAGTCTCTGAGGTCAGTTTGTGCTGCTGTATGTATGGGTGTGGGGCTGCCCACGGAGCATGGTCCGCCTACCAGGGACCACATCCCTAAAGAAAACTTTCCCGTAGGAGCTGTCGGTAGCTCCTCAGTGAGAGGCCAGTACACTTCCTTATTTTCAATGTAGTTCACAGTGCAAACATACCACACCAAAGTACTGCAGGCTTCTCTTTTCTGTAGGATGATGCGTTTTCTTTTTCTATTTTTTTTTTTTGAAACGTTATGTACTTGTTACTTAATGTTACATTACTTTTATTAGGTGTTTGCTTAGCTACAAATAAATGCCCAGAACTTTCAGTTTCACAGCCAGTAACATTGGCTGATTATAACTTCTCTTTATATCCTGATGTAGAAACTTATTAGTTTGATCTAGGAGGCAGGGTCAGGACATCAGTGCTAAGCATTTGTTGTCTGTTTATTACCCCAGTGTTGCTAGGGCAAGTAAGTTCTGAGCATCATTCCAAATCAGAATGACACTGAAATAGCACAAAGATCAAAAGATTGTGGTTGCTAGGAAATCTGCTGTGGCCCAATAGTTGGGGTTGTTAGTGTCTTACGATGAGTTTTGTTAGTTGATATTACTTCTCTTTATACATTCACCAAGCTCCATAGCCTCTGAAAATGAGAGACAAAGCAAGTCCCAGGAGAACTCAGTGATAGCCAGGTGCCTGTGGGAGACGGTCTCTAGAGTCCGTAGCATCTGGTTCTGCCTGCATGCGTGTGCTCACCAGCCCCCCTGGTGGAATAGGAAATAGGATTTGAGTTTCCTTGTTCGTTGGTCCGGTCACAGGGAGACACACCGCTCCCTCTTCATCTCAGTGCCAACCTTTGGTCAGGTCAGTTGGGTCCTGGAGGTAGGGCCACAAGGTGGCTGGGAGGGGTCCAGGCCTGTGTACATCTGAGCTCAGCTGACCCTGTAGAAGTGCCACTGTGTTGCTCTAGAGATGCAAGAACAACAGTATCACAGTGTTACTGTCATTCTCTAGCTTAGAGAGCCAAGACAGGGTGGGAAGAAAGGTTGCTGAGTAGCAGGCTTTTTTTAAAAACAAAACAAAACAAAAAAACTACAGGAGAAAAGAATCGTGTGTGTGGTATCTGGGACATTTAAATCTAATATTTCATTTTCTTTGTAACAGGTTAGTGGTTACCTGGATGATTGTACCTGTGATGTTGAGACCATCGATAAATTTAATAACTACAGACTTTTCCCAAGACTACAAAAACTTCTTGAAAGTGACTACTTTAGATATTACAAGGTATTTTCAATTTTTATTTTACTGATTTATTTACTTATAATGTATACAGTGTTCTGCCTGCATGCCAGAAGAGGGCACCAGATCTCATTATAGATGATTGTGAGCCACCATGTGGTTGCTGGGAATTGAACTCAGGACCTCTGGAAGAGCAGCCAGTGCTCTTAACTGCTGAGCCATCTCTCCAGCCCTGATATTTTCAATTTTTTTATGTAAGTATGCTGTAATGGATGATTACATTTTCTTAGATGACTAAACTTTGGTACTGTTATTGAAATTAGTAATTATTTAAATGTTTACAAAGTTTAAAAAAATTAAAGAAAATTTAGTGAGCCAGACGTGATGGTGCATGCCTTTAATCTCAGCACTCAGGAGGCAGAGGTGTAGAAGTAACTGTCTTATTCAATAAGAAACACAGAACCAATGCAAAGAAGAAAGCCAAGAGGTCAGAGCTAAGAGCTAAAAACCTTACCCTTCCTCTCACGGTGGTCCTACCTCTCCAAAAGAGACCTACTTCCTGTGTGTGTCTGTCTTTATAAAGACTTTCTGTTCTGCCTTCTCATTGGTTGTAAACCCAACCACATGACTGCCTTGTCACTCCCTTTCTGTACAGACCTCCAGGTCTTCTATGGTTGGTATTGAGATTAAAGGCGTGTGTCTCCATGCTGGCTGTATCCTTTTATACACAGAGATCTACCTAGCTCTGCCTACCAAGTGCTGGGATTAAAGGTGTGTGCCACCAACGCCCAGCTTTCGCTACGGCTTGCTAATAGCTCTGACCCCCAGGCAACTTTATTCATTAACATACAAATAAAATCACATTTCAGTACAAATAAAATATCACCATACAGAGGCAGGCGGATCTCTATGAGTTTGAGACCAGCCTGGCCTACAGAGCACATTCCAGGACAGTTACGGCTACATAGAGAAACTCTGTCTCGAAAAACAAAACAAAACAAAACAAAAATGTGGTGCGTGCGTGCATGCATGTGTACATGCCAAGGTGTGCCTGTGGAGCTGCTTCTCGCCTTTGACCTTTATGTGGGCTCCAGCCCAGCTTATGTGGCATCTTCACTGGCTGGGCCACCTGACTCTTAAAATGTCCACAAAGTTTAGTAGGAAAACTTGGTTCACAAGTGACTGTTGAGAAACCACCCATTGGACTGTGTGTGTGTGTGTGTGTGTGTGTGTGTGTGTGTGTGTGTGTGTGTGTGTGTGTGTAGACCTGAGGACAGCCATGGATGTTGTTCTCAGGTACAGTCCAGGTGTCTTTTCTAGCCGTAGTTTCTTCCTGCCCTGAGCTCTGACAGGCTGCGATGGTTGCCTTCTGTAATCCTGTCTCTGACTCCTGGCTCTGGGATTGCAAGCATTGCCACCAAGCTTGCTTTCTTTGTACGTGGCTTCTGGGAAGTAAACTCATGCCCTTGTGCCCCTTGCCAGCTGAACTCTCTGCAGCCCTGATACTACTGCCACCCCCACCCCCACCCCCATCCCCCGACAGGGTTTCTCTCTGTAGCTTTGGTGCCTGTCCTGGAACTCGCTCTGTAGACCAGGCTGGTCTCTAACTCATAGAGATCCGCCTGGCTCTGCCTCCCCAGTGCTGGGATGAAAGGTGCCACCACTGCCTGGCTCTTTTTCTTTCTTTTTTTCCCCCCCTGATATTTTTAACTTCAATAATTTCTAGAGTTAGAAATGAAACGAACTGGTTAAATTGCAGTTAAAATAGAAATTGCTGTATTGTTCTCAAAATGTTGTTTTGTCAGCCATCAGATGGGCTCCAGTTAAGATGGTTTTTTTTTTTTGAGAGGAGACATTTTGGACTTACTAAACACAGTATCTGACCATGAGAACATGCTGAAAGAGCTTCAAAAACCTGGTCCACAGTTCCTCCCTGTAATGGGCTTAAATGGGAGCTGAGTGGTGCAGGTTTGAGCCCTGACTCCCAGCTCAGCTGCCATCCGCACAGGGTCTGTTTGGTAGTCTGTCTCTCTAACCAGGCTTACCAGTTTACACCAGCTACACATTTGCAGTCAGTGAAACTTGACAAGTCATGGGAGAGCCAGTGAGTGTAACCTGGGATAAGCCATTGCCACAGCCTCGGTTCGTGACCCCAGTAGTCGATTATACTCTCAGGGCTTTATAGTTTTGTGACTTCCTGTCCTTTTACAGGTAAACTTGAAGAAGCCCTGTCCTTTCTGGAATGACATCAACCAGTGTGGGCGAAGAGACTGCGCTGTGAAACCGTGTCATTCTGTAAGAACTGTCCCCGCTGTCTTCACTCTTGACGGATTTTCAAAAAGAGCAACTGTTCATCCAGTTATCATTTGATCCTGTTTTATATAACAGTCAATATTTACCTCTCATAAACCTAAACTCACAACTGAGTTACTTACTTGTGTGTGCGCCTCACTGGCAGGGAGGCCAGAGGCTGACATCAAGCGGCTTCCTCTGTCACCTTCCCCTTTAGTTCTGAGATGGAGTCTCTTACTGACCCCTTGCAGTTCACTCTGAGGCAGGATGCCGCTGCCTCTCCAGCTCTGGGCTTGCAGGGGCTGCCTCCAGCCTGGCTTCTTACTCGATGCTGAGGATCTAAACTCAGGTTCTCATGTTTGTGTGGGAGGTATTTTACTAACTGAGCTGTCTCCCAGCCTCATAAAATCTACTTTGAATTACACTGTCTTCATGGTAATATAATAATAACAATATATAATATATAAAATGACATGTAAATATTATTGTTATTATTATTATTACAGAGATAGGATCTCTCACTGTGTAGTCCCTGGTGGTCTAGAGTTCACTATGTAGATTAGGCTGTACTCAAATTTGAGAGATTTGTCTGCCTCTGCCTCCCAAGTGCTGGGACTAAAGGTGTGCACCATCGTGCCAGGTTTTTTGTTTTTGTTTTTTTAGTCAAAATTAAGTTTTTATGCTTAACACGCTTATTCTTTATGAAGTCAATATATTAATTTTTATATTACATTATTTGTAATGTAAAGGGTGGTGAGGGGGTGGCATGCCACTCCCTTGTGGAGGTCAGAAGACGACTTACTGGAGTCAGCCCTCTCTTCCCACTGTGTGGTTCCAGGGACTGAACTCAGGCGCTTAGGCCTGGTGCTGGATCCTTTACCCCGAGCTGTCTTGCTGGCCCTGTGTCATTTTTTGTTTAAGGGATTCCTTCCACATTGGTTCCCTCACTGCCTATCCTGGTAATATAATCTTTTGATTTATTAGAGAGATTGTTCTTTTGGCTTGATATTTGTTTTCCTCTTGAAGTCTGAAGCACTCTACTGTGAAAGCAGAGATTTTCTGGTTTACACCTTCAAATGATGCAGGTTTTTACAAGCCTATAGGACTGCAGGTGTAGCTCAGTGGCAGAGCTCTTGCCCTGCGTGTATGAGGTCCTATTGCCCACCAAAAATGTCTCTATTTTCCTTTCACATTTTATTGTGTGTGTCCCTTAACCACTTGAAGCTGACATTCAGTGGCATTAAGTACAGTATATTGTGCAACCATCACTGCTGCCCATTTCTAATCGTCCTCGCATGCTGAAACCATGCAGCTTAACACTACCCATCCCCTCTCAGCCTTGGCCACCACCATTCTGTTTGTGTATATATATATTTTTCCTTAATCAGTTTGACTGTTTTAGGCACTTGGCATAAAGGGAATTATATATTTGTACTTTTACAGCTGGTTTTATTTCGCTTAGTATACTGCTTTTAAATAGAACATATCATAACATATATCTGAATTCTGTTCTAAGAGTGAATCAGAATGTTGTTGAATGTCTAGATTTATATCTAGTATATAAATCCATTACTGCTATACTATATATAGTAATATATATCCATTCATCTGCTGCTATTCAGTACATCTGTACCACTGAGGCATGTCTCCAGCCTTTAAGATTTTCTTAGTATATATCTATAAGTGGGTTTGCTGGATTATGTGGTAATTGTAAATTTTGAGGAATTACAAAACTGTCTTCCATAGTGATATAGCATTATATGTTTTTATCAGTGGCACCTAAGAGTTCCCATTTCTTTACCTCTGAAAAGTTCTACTTTTCCAGGTGTCCCCTGGGTCCAAGCTTTTAACACTTGGGCCTTTTGGGAACATTCAAAGCACAGCGGTTATTACGTTAAAGTCTGGCATATTATTAAGATACTATCAATTTAAATATTTAATTTATAAATTCTTACACTTACGTTTTTGATAATAGTAAAATAGCAATAAAAGTAGTTGGGGAAATTTGAAGTCACTAGTGTCTGGGGAACTGTGGTAAGATATAGTAGACTTAGCTTCTGCAGAATGAGGGCTAAATGCCTGAATCCAGTAGTCCAGTAGGCTGATATAATGTTTGCCTTTTAAAAACCATGATACCACCGGTGGTGCACCTTTTAATCTTAGCACTCAGGAGGCAGAGGCAGGTGGATCTCTGAGTTTGAGGCCAGCCTGGTCTACAGAGTGAGTTCAGGACAACTGGGACTATTATATAGAGAAACCCTGTTTCAGAAAACCAAAAAACCCCAAACCAAACATGATACCTTCTTGCTGAGCCAGTGACCACTGCTGGGTTCTGGGGGAGGGGCGGCCACTGCCTTCACTTTTACCCACTGAAGGGCCCCTTAGGCTCTAACTCAGTCCCTGACTCCCGGTCCTGCGGATGACCTGGTTAAACTCAGTATGTCTCAAGAAAACAAGAGCAACAAGATCATGAATGTAGGAAGGGGCTTTGCAGTGAGGAGGGGAGTAAGAGACGTGGAGGTGATACTTGAATGCACCTTATATGTGTATGAAACTTTCATAAATCAATAGTAAAGGTCAAAAAAGAAAAACCTAACATGTCCACCTCAGTATTCTTCTTTCATAAATATATGAGATTGGCAGAGGAATGGCATCATTTAGAATGATAATATAGTTTTGTGAGGCATGAGAGAGGAAAGTGGAGACTGGTAAAGGTCTCAATTAGCATGTGACTTTTTTTGTTGTTGTTTTGTTTTTTGTTTGTTTTTTCAAGACAAGGTTTCTCTGTATAGTTTTGGTGCCTGTCCTGGATCTCACTCTGTAGACCAGGCTGGCCTTGAACTCACAGAGATCCGCCTGGTTCTGCCTCCCAGTGTTGGGATTAAAGGCGTGTGCCACCACCGCCCAGCTTGGCATGTAATTTGAATAACTGATATTCTGTGTGAGCCTGCCAGGTCTGGGTATATAAGCTTAGCTCTGCCCTTGAGTTTGTGGTTTAGAAGAGAAGAGAAACACTAATTGACCCTTTCAACACACATACCACAGCCCAGTTACAAAGTGTCTGAACTACACATGCTAAGAGCAGAGACACGCTGGACCCAGAGGCACTCAAGTGACATTAAAGGAACGAAGTATTTCCACTCCCGGCGATAGGCCTGCGCTTCATCCTAATTCTTTCTAATAGGGTGAGCTACAGGGACCGAAGAGTGACTAAGGAGCACGCACGGATTTTGGGATGTTTCCCCCAGCCTCAATCAGCCCATGTACCTGCATTTGTATTGTGCACCACTAGAGAGATAGAATGTAACTATTTTTTGTGTTTCCATGGTACAGTACATGACCAGCAATACATGGGCCTTGAGTTTTATTTGCTCATTTTTTGAGAGAAGATCTTATTTCATTGCCCTTGCTACATAGACCAGGCTGGTCTCAGACAGATATCTATTGGACTGCTAGGATTAAAGCTGTGTGCTACCACACCTCCTGAATTTTTATTTACTTTAAAGAAATTATTTAAAATTAAAAACTCTTCTCACTTAAAATTGGTCTCCAGTAATTTGTGAATTTTTCTCATAAGTCATAAGAACTTAAAATATTTTGTCAGAAGATAGAATAAATATGTTTCTTTTTCAGGATGAAGTTCCTGATGGAATTAAGTCTGCAAGCTACAAGGTATGCACATACACTTACTGATGTGACTGAAAATCTTGGAAAGTCCATTTCCCTGCTCTGCAGTGAGATACCTTGAAAGTTAGTTCATATTCAATACCTTCTGTTCCTTAAAAAAATATATGTCTTTATATATGTGTACACATATATAAAACCATATAAGTGAAAGCAGTGGATGGAAACGCACTTACCATTACTCAGCAGTTATTAGTAATGGCCAGTTTTACTTCATGTGTATTTCCTATTCCATTTTCCCAATCATTTTAAGGCCAAACTCAGATAAATCGTTTTGTTTAAGAGCAATGCAAAATTAGAGCATTTCAGAATTAAGGAAATGCCATTCAAAATTTTCTCAAAGAATAGAACTTATGAAACATTTGGGTTAAAACATCACATGTATTTATACATAACGAGTGTTTTCCCAGTTAGAAAATACCTGTGGGGAGGAGCCAGCTGAGGTTATTGATAATTTCAAGTAGAGTAATCATAAAATGTAGTTTTTAAGATGATTGTGATCAGTTTTATAGAAAATTTAAAATAAAAAACTAGCTGGGCGGTGGTGGCACACGCCTTAATCCCAGCACTTGGGAGGCAGAGGCAGCCAGGCGGATCTCTGTGAGTTCGAGGCCAGCCTGGGCTACCAAGTGAGTTCCAGGAGAGGCGCAAAGCTACACAGAGAAACCCTGTCTCAAAAAAACAAAACAAAAAAAAAGCCAAAAAAAAAAAAAAACCTATTGGAAAAAAATGTTCTTCAGAAACATTTCCATAACCTAGTAAAGTGATAAATAAAATTAAGAAGCTGATTAAATTACTAAATGGTACTAAGAAGTTACTTTAATTTAAAAAATTCAGATAAAGGGGGCTGGGGAGATGGCTCAGAGGTTAAGAGCACTGACTGTTCTTCCAGAGGTCCTGAGTTCAATTCCCAGCAACCACATGGTGGCTCACAACCATCTGTAACGAGATCTGGTGCCCTCTTCTGGCCTGCAGGCACACATACTGTATACATAACAAATAAATCTTAAAAAAAAAAAAATTCAGATAAGGGTTTAAAAGTTTTTGTTTTAGTATATATACATAGGCATATGATATGTTTTTAAAATACATTTAAAATTGTATTAAGTTGTTTTGCATGTGTATGGGGCGTGGGGGGGCCAGGGCCTCTCATCTCTGCAGACTGGACATCATCTTCCAGGCTAGCTGGTTCTTGAGTTTCTGGTCACATCTGTCTCTGCCTTGCATCGCTGTAGGAGTGCTGCATCTTTCTTCTTACATGGGCTCTGGGGAGCAAGCTCAGGTCATCAGGCTTACATGACAAGTGTGTCTACTTGTTGGACCAGCTTTTGGGGCCTTTGAGGTTTATTTGAAATTTTCTTTTGACGTAATTTTCAGTCTATGGCCGTACCACATTGAACATGCCATATCTCATCTGAAATAAGAAGAAATAGGGTAGTTAAAGCATGTGTTTGAAATACTTAAAGCTATTAGCATCCTTTCTGTAAGGTGCTCTTCCAATTACAGAATGAGAAGAAGCTGAGACATACGTACAACCATGGCAGTCAGGGGAGCTGGCGCTTACAGTCAGGTCGCTAGGACTCTGCCTTCTTGTGCACCTCATAACTTCCATGTACCTCAGAAACTTTTCCCTGTGCACATCTTAGTCACTGTTTGTCAGTGTGATATTCTTTATTTTGTGAACATAATAGTGAATTGTGTTTCCGACAAAAATGAGACAAAAAAGCCTCTTACCTACTTTTGGATGTGAGAGCTCATTTTATTCCAGGTGGAGGCAGAGGCACGTGGATCTCTGAGTTCAAGGCCAGCCTGGTCTACAGAGTGAGTTTTAGGACAGCCAGGGCTACCCAGAGAAAGCCCTATCTCAGAAACAAATAAACAAACAAATGGAGCTCTTTTTATAGACTTTGAAGCCCGGTTGATGGTGGCAGGTAGCATGAGCCTTGTCTAACTTTTAATTTAAAATGTTTCTTAAGGTTGTGTGGCTTATGCCTGTAATCGCAGCACTTCAGGAGGTTAAAGCAGGGAAATTGTGTGTTTGAAGTTATGTGACCCTGTTTCAAAAACAAAAAACGGAAGCAGCAGTTTTAAGATGTCTTAATTCTGTTTTCTTTCCATTTAGTATTCTGAAGAAGCTAACCTCATTGAAGAATGTGAACAAGCTGAGCGGCTTGGAGCAGTGGACGAATCTCTGAGGTGATTTGCTCTTCAAGTACTTGTTTTTTCTTGGTCCCAGTTGACTGGAAAAAAGAATAATGCAATTGTCCTTATTTGAAGTGAGGAAACCCAGAAGGCTGTTCTTCAGTGGACCAAGCATGATGATTCTTCAGACAGCTTCTGTGAAGTTGACGGTATGACGTTCGTGATAGTCTGCCTTATGTTCCCAATGATGTCTTAAGAAAAATCCAAACAACCAGCCTACCTTCTCTCCTGCCCTCCCTCTCCCTCCCTCCTAGGCGTGTAACTCAAAAGAATTGGGGAAAGACTCAGACACAGGTAGACCAGTGTTCATTCATAAGAGGCACAGTGGTCTATGTGCCTATCTTAGGTGCAAAAATAATTGAAATGTGTTCTGTGTCTATCACATAAATACACATGAATACTACTGAGCCATATAAGAAGGAATGAGCTTCCAACAAATGCGACAGTGTTCCAGAACCCTGGAAACATGATAGGTGAAAGAAGCTAGACACAAAGATAAGTGTGGTATGATCCACTGTGAACTGTCTGGAACAGGCAAATTCATAGCAACAGAAAGTAGATTAGCGGTTAGTAGATGTGTTGGCGAGTTAATCGTTAAATAATCAGTTTCTGTTTAGGGTGATGGAAAAGTTTTGGAAACAGAAAGTGGCAATGATTACACAGAATTGTGAACGTAACTTACAGTTCACTGACGATGATGGCAATGGCCAATTTCATTATATCTATTTTTACCACAGTTTAAAAATAGTTTCTATAAAAAAAATTGCCTCTTGGGTTTTGCAGTTTTATGTACCAAGTAGTTAATAGTTCTCTTTCACTTGCATTTTGCAAAAGTAGCTAAAATGTAGGAATGAGGAACACGTCTTCTGTAAATGCTGCTGGACTGTTAACCTTTTCCGTGTTGATGGTCTCTGTGACTTTTGGTGCAGAGAATATTGAACCATGACATCTTGTCTGTAGCTGGTGCTGAAAATTGGCAGCCTTAGAACACATTAGGATTTTGATCAAGATTTATTGATTTAATTCTTTTTCTGGTATCTTTTTTTTTTTATTTGAATTGTTCACCTCTGAATTGGCTAAGCAAAATTAAATCAAATTTGAATTTTGATATTCTTCTATGGCTCTTTATTAGTGGACTAATGAACTTTTAAAAAGTTTGTGAAAAGCCGGGCGGTGGTGGCGCACGCCTTTAATCCCAGCACTCGGGAGGCAGAGCCAGGTGGATCTCTGTGAGTTCGAGGCCAGCCTGGGCTACCAAGTGAGTTCCAGGAGAGGCACAAAGCTACACAGAGAAACCCTGTCTCGAAAAACCAAAAAAAAAAAAAAAAGTTTGTGAAAAGAGCTGGGCATCGATGGTGGACGCTTTTAATTCCAGTGAGGCAGAGACAGGCAGGGGCAGGGCACCCCTCTTGAGTTCCAGGACAGCTAGGGCTACATAGTGAGACCTTGTCTCCACCCCCGTAACCCCCTCCAAAAAAAAAAGTTTTCTGCAGTGGGATACATGCTGTGTTTTGATATATGTATCTGTCGGGTCTATGTGATTTATAGTGTATTTTTCTTTTTTCTTTTTTCTTTCTTTTTTGGGGATGGGGGTGGTTTTGAGACAAGGTTTCTCTGTGTATCCCTGGCTGTCCTGGAACTCACTCTATAGACCAGGTTGGACTTGAACTCGAAGAGATCTACCTGCTCTGCCTCCTGAGTGCTGGGATTACTGACTTGCTCCACAACTGCCCAGCTTTTTTCCTTTTCTACTGCCCGGGATCAAACCCGGGTTTTGCCTGTGCTAGACGGCTGCTCTCCTGCTAGGCAACACTCTCTTCACTTCCGATAGTCAGTGATGAGCTGCCGTGCTAATGTGGATGGAAACAGACTCATTGTTTGGACAGTTTGTGAACCTTGACTCACATGTTTTCTTAAACTCTAAAATTCATGTATTCCTACTTTTACCACTTAACAAGATCAGGATTTTTGCAGCCATTGTGAACAGTGAATGTGACTGTTTGTTTCTCCCTATTTCCTTTTTCCTAAAACGTTGTTCTGAAATAGGTAAGATTTGGTGAAACATTTTATTTTGCAGACATACAGTCCCCCGATGCTGAGTATGTGGATTTACTCCTTAACCCTGAGCGCTATACAGGCTACAAGGGGCCGGATGCTTGGAGGATATGGAGTGTCATCTATGAAGAAAACTGTTTTAAGTATGCATTATTTTCCTAGACTTGTGCAAATCAGGTTCATGCTGCTAAAATTAAGATTGATATAGACATAGAAGCTTAAATGTCATTAATCACATTCCCCCTGGGGCACCGGCTGCAACAGATACTTCTTTAAAGACTTAGATAATATTAGACCTTTTTGGGATTGGAACCACTGAGCAAATATTCCTGAGTGGATTACAGGATCTCCTTATGTAGATGAAGTAATTGGGAACCAGGCGCTTTGCTTCATTTACCAAGATCACTGTAGGCAGTGATAGGGTATAGATGGTAATCTACAGTTTAAGGTTCTTTTTGTTACTCTCTGTTCTCCTTTCTATGGCCACAGTGTTTCATCCTCTTCAAGTTAAACTGATTTCAGAGAGTAGCTCCGAGGTTACCTTTTTGTGTACTCACTGTATGCGATGCACTGTGTTCAACAGCACGGACATTGCTCCTCTAGTTCTCACGGTAACAATTTATCATAGTCATGCCTGCTCACAGATGGAGAATCTGAGGCTTAAGCTAGGTATTTGTTCAGTGTCAGGGGAAGCACCCGCTTTGTACTCTTAGCCAGTGCGGTGGAAGTTGATCACTGGGTGGCTGAAAAATGCTAAGGTTCTTCACTTGGAAACCTGAAGGATGTACCAGCTAACTTTGGGGAAAAGACCCATGTGTGCATTTGTGTGCGCATTCATTTGTGTGCATGTGCATGCATTTACATGTGCATGCACATGTGCGATTCTCTCAGGGACAAAAGCTCTGCATAGCACATGTCACTTTCTAAATCAGATATACTTATGACATTGTTGGTAATGCTGATGTTCATACAGTACAATTCTTTTCTTTGTAGGCCACAGACAATTCAACGGCCTTTAAATCCTTTGGCTTCTGGTCAAGGTAAGTTATTTGCATCTGTTTATTGGCTAGTGAAATTGGATTAGAGTGAAGAGAAAGGCAAGGTTAAGTAGCAAGGGCAGTTGAGGGCAGGTAGTCCACTGGTCGTGTTTTTTAGAGAAGTTATCGTGTTTTTTAGAGAAGTTATGCCTCACTCTGTGAAGGCACAGATGTATTTCCCAAGAATATTCATGGTGTTAGGCCATTGTAATATGAAGATTAGGGTTATAGATTTATTGTCTTTTTTTTTTTAAATTTAATTTATTTATTATGCATACAGTGTTCTGCCTGTATCCCTGCAGGCCAGAAGAGGGTACCAGATTTCATTACAGATGGTTGTAAACCATCATGTGGCTGCTGGGAATTGAACTCAGGACCTCTGGAAGAGCAGTCACTGCTCTTAACCTCTGAGCCATCTCTCCAGCCCCGATTTATTGGCTTTTTTGCAATGCACTAAATAGTGTTTGTTTACTTCAGTTCTGTTTATCCTCCAAATAAATGAATATCCCAAACATGTACCTCATTTTTCAAAAAACTTGAGCTGGGGAGGAAGTTTAATGCTGCAGTGCTTGGTCAACATGTCTCAGTTCCTGGGCTTGACTCCCAGCCAAACAAGAAACAAAACCCTCAAGTAAGCCAGGCGGTGGTGGCACACGCCTTTAATCCCAGCACTCAGGAAGCAGAGGCAGGTGGGATCTCTGTGAGTTCGAGGTCAGCCTGGGCTACAGAGTGAGTTTCTGGAAAGGCTCCAAAGCTACACAGAGAAACCCTGTCTCAAAAAAACAAAAAAAAAAAGAAAAGAGAAGAAAAAGAAAAAAAGAAAAGAAAAGTGGGAAAAAATGAAGATGATAGAAGAATTTGCATTTTATAGTCTTTGAAAACATTCCCAAGGTTAAATCTTCTGTCAGTCTGAGGGATTCAAAGCAACAGTAATACAGACCTTTAACAGGAATTATCTCCTAGTGTTAGGATAATAAAGGTAAAAAAGACTGCTGTCCAAATAAACATGGGCACTCCAGACTGCTCTCAGTATGCTACCCTTTCCCCTCTTATGAGCATGTGGGAATTCTGTGAGCCTGAACCACGGCTGGACAGAGTTGTGACTGTGGGTGCTCCTTCTGTTGATTTTACTTGCGTAGATACACTGATGGACTAAAATGAGTCATTGTTAGCATATTATTTTCATGTAAGTGTAGCATTCAGAAGTAGTTTATAATAATTAATGTTTTGTTTTGTTTTTCAGGAAAAAGTAAAGGTATGTACCTTTATCATGCATTATATACGTCAAGTCTGGTTGTATGTTCAGATGTGTGTTCTGGTGTTTATTGTGGCAAACTGCATTTCTTCTTGCTTCCTCGGACAGAATATCTCCTCCTTTTGTTACTATAGAGATATCCATAACCCAGGCTGGCCTGGAGCTCATTCATTATATAGCTCAGGGTGTTCTTGAATTCTGACAGTCCTCTTGTGTATGTCTCGAGAGTTCAGTTTGTAAGCATGAACCACCACACCAGCTCTTAATTTTTATTTTATTTTTTTATCTGAAGTGCTGGGGGTGAAAGAACAGCTGAAAGGGAGAGGCCCCTGTTTAGAGTCCCACACTATGGACAGCCTGCCTCAGCCTCTGGCAGTTCAGTTGTGTGTTTTACCTACAAGCTGTGGAAGCCAGGTATTACCGCCACCCCTTCTCCCCAACCCCCAGGTCTGGCAGACTCTAGAAAGCATCTCCTCTTAACTAATTGAGGCATGGGATATGAGGGTCTTACCAAGGAGGGTCTAGACACTTTTTCAAGTGTTGACTCCAGAGCTGAATCATTGCCACTCTTCACTAGTAGGGATGTTAAACTTCCATATATATTTCAGGGTTACTTTGCCTTTTAAAGAATATTTTAGTTTTAGGAGTGAGATGGAAGTAATTTTTGCTTTTCTAAAGACCATGTATGTACCTAACAGCCTTGTGGTGCAGGTTAATAATCCCAGATGCTTGGGAGGCTGAGGCAGGAGGATTGCAAGTTCAAGGCCAGTCAGGGCTACTGAATGAGTTCCAGGCCAGCCTGAATGAATTAATTAGTGAAACCCTGTCTCAAAATAAAAAGTGAGAAAAAAGGGGGAAAGAGTGAAAAGTCCTAGTTTAAATCCTCAGTACTGACACACACACACACACACACACACACACACAGACACAGACACAGACATACACACTGTGTGAAATCCTCAGTACTGACACACACAGACACAGAGACACTGTGTGAAATCCTCAGTACTGACACACACAGACACAGAGACACTGTGTGAAATCCTCAGTACTGACACACACACACACACAGACACACTGTGTGAAATCCTCAGTACTGACACACACAGACACAGAGACACTGTGTGAAATCCTCAGTACTGACACACACAGACACACTGTGTGAAATGCTCAGTACTGACACACACACACAGACACACTGTGTGAAATCCTCAGTACTGACACACACACACACACACACACAGACAGAGACACACTGTGTGAAATCCTCAGTACTGACACACACACACACACACACACACACACACACACACACACAGACACAGACACACTGTGTGAAATCCTCAGTACTGACACACACAGACACACTGTGTGAAACCCTCAGTACTGACACACACAGACACACTGTGTGAAATCCTCAGTACTGACACACACACACACATACAGACAGAGACACACTGTGTGAAATCCTCAGTACTGACACATAGACAGACAGACAGACACACTTCAAAGAAACTGAGTCAGTGCTTGCTTGGCCTTAGTCCATTTAGATGAAACTGTTAAACGTAAAGTATCTTCTCTCTTCTTCAAAATCTCTTACTTTTTAGCATCATTTTCATCTTTAATTTTTATTAAGTGTATTTATTTAGTGTGTGTATGTGGTGAGTGCATGCTGCCATATGCCTTTACCTACTGAGCCACCTGGAAGCCCATATTTTTATGAACTATTTGTGCATTATCTTAAAAAGACAGAATATGAGGCCGGGCGGTGGTGGCGCACGCCTTTAATCCCAGCACTCGGGAGGCAGAGGCAGGCGGATCTCTGTGAGTTCGAGGCCAGCCTGGGCTACCAAGTGAGTTCCAGGAAAGGCGCAAAGCTACACAGAGAAACCCTGTCTCGAAAAACCAAAAAAAAACAAAAAAAACAAAACAACAAAAAAAAAAGACAGAATATGAAATTCTGATAGCATTTCTGTTTTATTATCATTTAATAATTGATTATTTTGTTTTATTTAGCTGCTATCGTTACTGTAATGAAAAATGCAATAGTACTGTAGCACTAAATAAAATTCTAAAGCAGATGTGACTTAGTGTGAGAGGGAGTTACTTAGCAGTCACAGTATTTCCTACAGGTGCTTGCCTCTGTTTGGGACTGAAGAAGTGATCCTGTAACTTTTGGCCTCCTTGGGCAGTAGCCGAGTTCTGTGCTACATTCTAGACACACTAGAGGGGCTTCTTTGTCTTGGCATACTATTTGTCTCTTTATGAGAGAAAGGATCATTTATCCCTAGAGACCTCAGTCCTTAGAACTGATTCATTCATAAGTATTACATTGATTTTGGTCACAGGGCAAAGGGGTATTCCTGACAGCTGCTGCATTAGGTAATTAATTAACTGCACCATGGTCAGGTCAAGTTGAGGGGGCTTTCAAAAATTTTTTTACTTAAAATGTATTCTTTCAGACTTGAGCACAAATGCCTATCCCCTCCCCCCACAAATAATAATAATACCATTTAAAACAACTTTAGCAAGATAAAAGGATTCTGACATAATAGTATTTATCATTGCTATAGCAAGTACTACATGAATGCTGTAATTTCTTACATATTTTGTAAAATGTTTAAAATATTTTCATATTATTCTGTTATACTTTCTTGTCAGTTTTAATAGTTGTGTTAATTTTACTATGTTATCTAATTAAATATTCTGTTAACTCCGGCATTACCATCCATTTTTATTACTAGAGGCTTTAAAATTAAAATAGTAACCTTTCTACAGATTCCTTGTCCTCTCCCTGTTTTATCTCTTTAGAGCATAATTCTGAAACCAGAATTACTAAGCTTTAGTTTATTGACAGTGGTATCGTTAAGTCACAGAACATGAGCGATTGTTTTTTAGCACTGCCCTACTGCTCTTTGGATGTAGTGAATTGCATGAAATTCTGTTATATCTGCAGTAGCATCTTACAGTGTTTGTTTATCTAGTTAAGCAGTCTTGCTAGATTGTGTGTGTGTGTGTGTGTGTGTGTGTGTGTGTGTGTGTGTGTGTGTGTCTTTCTTGTGGGAGAGAGGTCTTAGGGATTGAACCCAGGAGTCATGAACATGGTAGCCAAGTGATGCACCACAGAATGACATTCCTCCAGACTCCCAATTCTACAGTTTGATAACACATAAAACATTTATCTGAGGGGCAGAGCAGTACTTTCTCGGATCCACACACAACCTTTTCCTTTGAAGAAATTGTAAGATTTGGACCTTTAGCTGGAACAGTCTTTAAGACACTTGAAAATTTACGTTTTGGTGTTAGGAAAAAATTATGACTTATTTTTCTTTTAATTTCAGAGAACACTTTTTACAGCTGGCTAGAAGGTAAATTAGAAACTTTTAAACAAATTTAAATGATAAATTTTTTCATTTTTAATATCATGAAATTCCCAAGATTCATATACAAAATTTTATTTTTGCACCATTGATTTCTTTTAGGCCTCTGTGTAGAAAAGAGAGCATTCTACAGGCTTATATCTGGTCTACATGCAAGCATTAATGTGCATTTGAGTGCAAGGTATCTTTTACAAGGTATGTGCTTTTAAAACCTTCCATATAATTGTTTTTAGGTATTCTTAACATTTTCTTGATGTTTACCTGGATGGAAAAACAGATTATTGGGTAGTAAGAATTCACTCGTAAATAGTAGTGATTCGGAATGTAGAAGCTGTGTGTACAGTTGAATAGTTCCATATATTATTAATTCTCTCAATTCTAATTATCACTTTGGAAATGTTCTTTTGTTGACTGTGGGAATTAAAATACATCCAGCAGCACAGTTTGTTACCACATGAGAGCCTTTATTTATATGTCGACTTTAATGGCTACAGCATTGTCTGCTGCTTTTCATGGTTGAGGATGCTGGTGGAAAGTCAAACCATGGTTGATTTTCCTCAGTAATTATTTCTTCTGGAATTGGGAAGCATTTTACCTTTCAGAAATAAAGTGGTAACTCTGGTTTGAAATAGTGCTTTAAATTCATTAGTAATTTCAGATAGTCATTCCAAAAAATTTGTTTTTATTACTAATTATGCATATGTATGTGGGGGTATGTGCAAGTGAGTACAGGTGCCTCAGTAGGCAGAGATGTCAGGTCCACTTGGAGCAGGAATTAGAAGCTGTGAGCCGCCCTGGATTCTGGGAACTGAAGGTCCTCTGGAAGAGGAGCATGTGCTCTTAACTGCTTAGCCACCTCTCCAGCTTAGCAAGTCATTTTTTAAATTATATATTTTGACTTTATGATTGTTGATATTCAGAAATTTGATTTTTTATCAAAAACCCATTTTCTCTGTAAATATTTGATTCATTTTGCCTTTAAGAAAGGGTTCCAGGCCGGGCGGTGGTGGCGCACACCTTTAATCCCAGCACTCAGGAGGCAGAGGTAGGCGGATCTTTGTGAGTTCGAGGCCAGCCTGGGCTACAGTGCGAGATCCAGGAAAGGCGCAAAGCTCCACAGAGAAACTCTGTCTCGAAAAACAAAACAAACAAACAAACAAACAAAAATAAATAAATAAATAAATAAATAAATAAATAAAAAGAAAGGATTCCAGAAGACAAAATTCTTACTAATTTTTAGAATTTCTAAATTTTTATTTATTTTTAATGCAAGGTCTCACTATGTAGCCTTGCCTGTCCTGGCACTCTATGTAGAACAAGCTGGTCTTGAACTCAGAGATTCATCTGCCTCTATATGAAATTAAAGGCGTGCACCACCACATCCGGTTTATGACAGAATTTTTTTTTTTTTTTTTTAAGATTTATTTATTAATTATGTATACAGTGAGTGTTCAGCCTGCAGGCCAGAAGAGGGCACCAGATCTCATTGTAGATGGTTGTGAGCCACCATGTGGTTGCTGGGAATTGAACTCAGGACCTCTAGAAGAACAGCCAGTGCTCTTAACCTCTGAGCCATCTCTCCAGCCCCTTATGACAGAATTTTTAAAGGCTAAGTTTAAAAAAAAAAAAAAAATTAGCCGGGAGGTGGTGGCGCATGCCTTTAATCCCAGCACTCAGGAGGCAGAGGCAGAGGCAGGTGGATCTCTGTGAGTTCGAGGCCAGCCTGGGCTACAGAGTGAGTTCCAGGAAAGGCACAAAGCTACACAGAGAAACCCTGTCTAAAAAAATTAAAAAAAAAAAAATCTTGGTTGAATTATGTATTTTAAATTACAAAATGAAATTAACTTCTATAAATATAAATAGCTTCTTTTAATTAAAATAAAAATTACTTAACTGTACACTTGAATCATTTAACACTCTTCTTTCTTCTTAGATACTTGGCTGGAAAAGAAATGGGGCCACAATGTCACAGAGTTTCAGCAGCGCTTTGATGGGGTTTTGACGGAAGGAGAAGGTCCGAGAAGGCTGAAGAACTTGTACTTTCTGTACTTGATAGAGTTAAGGGCTCTGTCTAAAGTGCTCCCATTTTTTGAGCGCCCGGATTTTCAGCTCTTCACTGGAAATAAAGTTCAGGATGCAGAAAACAAAGTGTTACTTCTGGAGATCCTTCATGAAATCAAGTAGGTTCTATATGCTACAACATGTATGTTAGTTAGCATCCGGATGAGGGGCGGTGTCCAAAGTAAACTCTGCATTATTTAGTTAGAGAAGGAAACCATCTTTAAAGTAATGTAAATGAAGTTCTGTTCATTGGACTTTTAGTTTTTTTGGTTTTTTTGAGGTGGTCAGATTCTCTTGCCTCAGGCTTCTGGGAGCTGGGAAAGTAGATGTTCATCTGGCCTTCCCAGATCTTCTAGAATTTCTTGGTTTTGCTTTGACTAGTGTATTACTTCTTCTTCTTCTTCTTCTTCTTCTTCTTCTTCTTCTTCTTCTCCTCCTCCTCCTCCTCCTCCTCCTCCTTCTTCTTCTTCTTCTTTCTTCTTCACCAGCATTATATTTATATTTTTTTTGCATAGTCTTAAGTTTGGGGCCAGACTTCTAATAAACTTAGCATTTAGATTTGAGGATAGGTATTTGTTTGCATTGTTGCTGTTACTGATTTTTATTCTATTTTAATTATTAATCATTGACCAGTAAAATATATTAGCAAGACTTTGAACACTTACATACATGAACATGACCCTTCTCTGTTTAAAACACAGGTCATTTCCTTTGCATTTTGATGAGAATTCTTTTTTTGCTGGGGATAAAAATGAAGCACATAAACTGAAGGTAATTATACTTCGCCTTAATAGTTAGATGCAGCCTGGTGAATATGCAGGTGTGAGTGTAAAATCCCATTTACTGGAGGTCGAGTAGAATGACGCTTATGAGCGGTTGTGGAAAGGGATCACTTAGGATGGGAGCTCGTGGTCAGTTTCCGTTTGGGGGAAGCTTTAGTGGCCTTTTGCTCAGAAGGATGACTAATAAATAGGAATGTATTACATATTTCAGAACTGTTCAGAGTTAAAGTTTTACTACAAAAGGGTATGTCAGGTTATGAACTTGTCACCTTGGTTTTATTGTTCCATATAAATATCAAGAAATAAGCCAGGCAGTGGTGGCACACGCCTTTAATCCCAGCACTTGGGAGGCAGAGCCAGGCGGATCTCTCTGAGTTCAAGGCCAGCCTGGGCTACAGAGTGAGTTCCAGGAAAGGCGCAAAGCTACACAGAGAAACCTTGTCTCAAAAACCAAAACCAAAACCAACCAAACAAACAAAAAACAAAAGAAATAATAAGTGTCAGGGTGTCATAGCACCCCTTAAACAATCTGAATGTCAATTAAAAATGAATTTAAAATATAGATATTTCTATTTCATACTGCATCTTGACTTAGAGCTCAGTGGGTTGATATGTATGTAACACTCTCTGTCATCACAATGAAAGAAGCTAATGCAATCCACTTGAAAAGGAAATTCTTTCTTGTGTGTAGCATTGAGATCAGCTGTTTTGAATTACCACCTCTTCCTCAGCTGTTCTAGCCACAGAAATGGACTTAGTGGTTCTGTAACCCCCACAGCTTCCAGGAACTGGAGAGTGAGGGGAAGATGCCACCCACAGTAAGACTTTTCTGGCCTGGTCTACAACGCAAGTTCCAGGACAGCCAGGACTGTTACACAGAGAAGCCCTGTCTCGAAAAACCAAACCAACCCAAAAAGACTACTTTTCTGTACTGTATTCAGTATGCTCCTTATGGTAGTTCACTTGCTGGTTTGTTTTGTTGGAGAGTGTTTTGGCATCAGCTCTTTTTAGACTGTACAAATTAGAAATATTTCTCACAGTGTTTTAATTTGATCCAAATTCCAGAACATTCGGCTTATGTACTTTGAAGTTTATATATAGTTCTTATAGAAAAAAGGACTAATAGGAAAATTAAAAAAAAACTTTTATAGCAGATTTGCTTTATTCTGGTAAACATAGATTTGAACATTATTTATAAATTCATTTTGCTGGGTAGTAGTAGTGCATGCCTTTAATCCCAGCACTTTGGAGGCAGAGGCAGGTGGATCTTTGTGAGTTCAAGGCCAGCCTGGTCTACAGAGTGAGTTCTAGGACATCCAGGGCTACACAGAGAAACCCTGTCTTGAAAAACCAAATTAAAATTTTCCTTATGACTCCCTTACAGTCTCTGTGTATGGGTAGAAATAATTACTAGTGTTTGGAACAAAATAGGGTCTGAAGGTTTATGAAGCATTTGAGAATTTTGGCAAGAATCAGTGAGTTGACTTTGATCAATCTGCCAAATGACCATAATACATGATGAGAAATTGGGTGTGTCAGCGTGTTCCTGTAGTTTCTGACTAGCTGAGAGGTGAGGCAGGGGGACAGTTGGAGTCCAGGAGTCCAATTCCTGCCTGAGCAACAGGACAAGAGAATCTGTCTTAATAATTTAATTTCTGATTATTTTAAGGATTGCATATTTTTCTGATCTGAGATAATTTTGGTATATATCCAGATTATTAGAAGTGATTGTTTTTGGAAACTACAAGGATTTTCTCCTAATCTAGTAAATTTCTAGCATCCTAAGTTTACCTAGGTAGGAGATGCTCACGCTATTTTATGTGGTTGGCTTTAATTTTACTATGCTAACTTCTCTGTTTTAAGCAACCATACATACTCTCTGTACATATCACGCCAAGATTTACTCAAGAAATGCTGTGTTCAGATATTTGAATTACATCAATTCCAACAATTAACTTAGAAAAAGCAGGCATAATCTTTTACAATAGAGGCTTATAGCTTTGCAAGTATGATGGTCTCTTAAAAGTAAAATACTTTCAAGCTCTTTCTACAGGAGTCTGTTTTTTGTATCTTTTGATTGTGAAGGTGTAATTGTCAAAAACCCACTTTGCATTCAGTACCATTCTTTAAGTAAAACGTGCGATACTGGCCCATCATGCTTACATACATTTGAATGTCTATGGAGCATATGCATGAACCACTTATTCTCTCGCTAGATAACTTGTCTACAGTTGGATTCTGTAGACCTCTAGAACAGCTACTAATTGTCAGTAGTCCCTCAGGGAGGAGTTGGGCCTCAGGAGCTCCTTCCCCTGTAGTAGTTAAAAGTGTGATAGTTTTTCAATTAAAATTTTTTTTGGAATTAAAATATAGTTACATCATTTCCCCCTTTCCTCTAACCCTTCCATGGCCCTCACCCTTTGTTTCTTCTCTAATTCATGGTCTCTTCTTCTCTGTTGCTTGTAGCTGGAGAGCTTCTCTCCAGGTCCCACCAAGCCCCGCAGTCCCACAACCCACGTATAAAATAATCACTCAGACGTTTATATTGCTTACAAACTGTATGGCCGTGGCAGGCTTCTTGCTAACTGTTCTTATATCTTAAATTAATCCATTTCTATAAATCTATACCTTGCCATGTGGCTTGTGGCTTTTTGGCATCTTCACATGCTACTTGTCATGGCGGCGGCTGGCAGTGTCTCCCTGCCTCAGCCTTCCACTTCCCAGAATTCTCTTCTCTGCCTGTCCCGCCTATACTTCCTGCTTGGCCACTGGCCATTCAGCATTTTATTTATACAGAGTGATATCCACAGCAGTTACTGTCACTCCCACATCACACCTGGCACACTATTTAGTCTACATGGTGTTACTTGTATATATATATACACGTTCAGGGATGACCTATTGGTATTGGATAAGCAACTAGAGACTCATCCCTGGGGAGATTATTTCTGCCCAGTTTTTTATTTTTATTTTTTAAAGTCAAACTCAGAACACTAAAGGAAACTTATTATCATCATGAAAATTGTCTACAGCAAAATTGGGTAGTTTAAAAAAAAGTTATTTTTTGAGGTGGTCTCATGTCTAGTGTAGGTTAGTCCCAAGCTTGCTGTGTAGCTGAGAACAACTTTGAGATGATAGGTCTCCACCACCCGGTTTATGTAGTGATAGGGGTAGAGCCCAGGGCTTTAGGTATGTTAGGCAAGCACTTTGCCAGTCAACGGAGCTACATTACTATTCCATGGGCAGTTTTATTTAAAAGTTTAAAATTAGGATGTTCTCTTACTTACAGTTCAGTACCAGAAGTACCAAATGGAGAAAATTGTTAAGGTGTATAATTCATATTTATTTGGCCTTTGCGTAAAACTAGTAAATATGTGAGATCTTGAGTCTTACTAAAATGTTTTGCATGTTACAGCTGTTGCAGTCTCATGCTGAATCAAGCTTCTGGGAAATCCCCCTCTGAAGCAAATTTAAATGCCCTTTGAAAGTACTAGATAGCCATCTCTGCTCACACCTAGTTTTAGACCTGGGGTGCTCATCTGGTGGAGTCCATTATATGATTTATCTCATAGTAAAAAAATTATAGACACCAGGCAGTGATGGCACACACCTTTAATCGCAGCACTCGGAAGACAGAGGCAGGCGGATCTCTGTGAGTTTGAGGCCAGCCTGGTCTACAGAGTGAGTTCTAGGACAGCCAGGGCTGTTACACACACAAACCTTACCTCGAAAAACAAAAAAACAGAACAGCAACAACAAAAAAAGTTAGACTACTGAAATAATAGAAGTTTCTTCTGAAATGTAGGTCCAGTTTCTGCTTAAAATACTGGTAGTTAGGGCTGGTGAGAGGGCTCAGTGGGTAAAGGCAGTTGTTGCCAAGCCTGAGGACCTGAGTTCAATCCCCAGGACCTACATCACCAACTCCCTGCAAGTTGTTGTCTGATTTCACCCGTGTATACATAAACACACGTGCACACACACTCCTGAACATGCACGCACAGTGGGTGGAGGGGGTGAATAAAATCTAGTTTTTGAAAAAAAAAAAGAATTAAAAACTACTGGTAGCTTGAGATTCTACTCTTAAGACTAGGACAGAGTCACTTGGAGGATCTGTTATTAGTTTTGACTCAAATAAAAGAAGATGCCCTTGGCTCCCTTTTCTTCATCCCTTAAGGACATAGACTGCATTTAGATGATTGGATTCTAGCTGCTCTATTACAATCAATGTAACATTCTGGTGTTAACAGACATATAATGTGTACGAATATATAAAAACAAATGGAGCAACATCCCAAATCCATCAGAGTAGTAGAGGATAGGTACAGAAATGTGGGATGATATGTAGGGAGTTTCAGATATTAGTAATGATTTCTTTTTAGAATTTGGTGGTGTATACATGGCTATTAATTATATTTTATATATCAGCAGTAAAGAAAATCTGAGTGTTTTCCCTAATTCCAGGAAAGGAGAGCTATAATTTAAGTGTTCTCAAAGGTCACCTCCCTCTTTCCTCCCTTCCTTTACCTTCTTAGATACCATTTAATCCCACAACTCCCAATATTGACGTATGAAACTAACTGATGTATTTCTTTTTTGGTAGTGTGGATTTGGAGTGAGGCAGGGCTGGTCACTATCGGTGAACTTAGACCTGCTGTGTGGCATTTCTGAGTCTGTTAAAGAAATCCATGGGGTAGAGCATGCGTAGCTTAGATCTGTGGGAGGATGGAATGGTAAGGAGAGGTTCTGGAATGTGGCAGACGCTCCGTGTGCTCAGCCCTTTGTTTGATACCCTTTAGTGCACTGTCCAGGGCTGAGCACATGGAGAGCACGCAGAAAACAGTTCTTAGTTGATTACACAAGTACACAACTTATATAAAACTATGTTACATTGTTTTTAGGAGGACTTCCGACTACATTTTAGAAATATTTCGAGAATCATGGATTGCGTTGGTTGTTTTAAGTGTCGACTGTGGGGAAAGCTCCAGGTAAGTCTTGCTCAGTCTTCGACTTCACTCTGTGTTGAGGGGTTTCCTTATTTTTTCTTCTCTCTGTTTTAGACTCAGGGTTTGGGCACTGCTCTGAAGATCCTGTTTTCCGAGAAACTGATAGCAAATATGCCAGAGAGTGGACCAAGTTATGAATTCCAGCTAACCCGACAGGAGATAGTATCCTTGTTTAATGCATTTGGAAGGTTAGTTTTAATGTTCTGAAATTGTTTCTGCTAGCCACCTGAGTCTGATGTTAATAGGTACATTTTCAGATAAAACTAAGAGTGTCCTTTTTAGTAAAATTACCTTGTTATAGAATTATATGATCTGGGGCTGGAGAGAAGGCTCAGTGGTTAAGAGCACTGGCTCCTCTTCCAGAGGACCTGGGTTCAATTCCCAGCACCCCCATGGCAGCTCACAGCTGTCTGTAACTCACTTCCAGGGGATCCAACACCCTCACAAAGACATGAATGTGGACAAAATACCAATGCACATTAAATAAAATATTAAAAAAAAGAATTATATGATCTGATAAAATGCCTTTATCAGAATATACACACATACTACTTGATTATTTCCACCTATTGATTTTTATATTCATATTTAATTTACTGACAGATTTGAGTACTGTTAAATTTGTTCATTTTATTGTAATTATTTTGTACATTCATACAAAGATACATGGTATTTTGCTTTGTTCTGTTTTGAGACGCAATCTCACTATGCAGCCCTGGTAGGCCTGGAACTTACTATGTAGACCAGGCTGGTCTTGAACACAGAGATCTGCCAGTCTCTACCTTCCTCCTCGGATTAAAGGCGGGTGCCATCAGGGCCAGCTTATTGTAATTATTTAAAAGCATTTTATTGGTGTTATTTTTGAAGGGTATGGAAAGTCACAAATATTTCTGTGAACTTAGCAGTATACAAAAGATTAGTAATTCTTTAGAAATAATTATTTTCTGTCAAAATGATCTGAGGAAAAGCATGGGATAAGGAAGATACACCAACAGTTTTCAGTGTGGATGGCTTTTCCTGCTGGCTCATGTTAATTCTGAGATTGACAAGCGTTTTCTTTCTTCAGTGCTGGCATGAGAGACAGCATTCTCCCATCCTCTCAGTATTTAAGGGCTACATTTTTTCACCTAAAAATAACATCAAACATTTTAGGATTGAAATAATTGGCCTTACAAATTTTCTCTGGCATCGAGGAACGTGACTGTTACCTTTAATTGTGTGCTCTACTTTTATCCTACTGGAGAGCAGAGCTAAAATGCATGTAAAAGGGAACATGCAAAAATACAATACAGGCCGGGCGGTGGTGGTGCACGCCTTTAATCCCAGCACTCGGGAGGCAGAGGCAGGCGGATCTCTGTGAGTTCGAGGCCAGCCTGGTCTACAAAGTGAGTTCCAGGAAAGGCGCAAAGCTACACAGAGAAACCCTGTCTCAGAAAAACCAAAAAAAAAAAAAAAAAAATACAGAACAGATTTTACTATATATAAAAATTGGTGCAAACAGTTGGGTCAGAACAGGCTTTTCTCACTCTTTAAAGATCAGGGCTGGAGAGATGGCTCAATGGTTAAGAGCACTGACTGTTCTTCCAGAGGTCCTGAGTTCAATTCCCAGCAACCACATGGTGGCTCACAACCACTCATAATGAAACCTGGTGCCCTCTTCTGCTCTTCTGGCCTGCAAGGACACATGTAGGCAGAACACTGTATACATAATAAATAAATCTAAAAAAAAAAAATCAATAGCTTTGATCTTTGTAAATTTAGTACTAAGTAAAGGTATATTATTTATTGTATTCTTATACTTCTGGATATTTAAATACTTATTTTAATGTTTCTACATTTCTGTATTCATATTATGTATGTAATATAATTAACATTTATGAATACCTAAAATATCTAAGTATTTTATACTTATACACTTATGTATTATATATTAAATATTGATGTGCTTTACTTTAATATAGCTCTGGATATTTAAATTTATATAATTTTATATGTATATATTTTAATACTGAAGTATTAAAAGTTAGTTTGTGTTTGTAGATTTGCCTTGCCAGATTAAAAACTAAAGGATATAAGTAGATTTGTATACCTTTCAATTTATTGAAATAAACTACTTTAAAATTTTTATATACTCTAAAAATGAAAAATGATTAACAGAAAATTTATGGAAGTGTTTTTAAGTGAAGTGTTTCTTGGTTACAGGATTTCGACAAGTGTGAGAGAATTAGAGAACTTCAGGCACTTGTTACAGAATGTTCACTGAGGAGGACAGCTTGAAAGGCGCCTGCTTCTGGACGGGGAGGCCACAGAGCTGAATCTCTCCGAGCAGCGTGACCGCAATGGCCGTCTTAAGGCAAACATTTCTATAAAGCTGCTTTTGTAAAAGGAGAAATACATTGTTTTAAGTAAATGACATTTTTAAAAATTGTGTTCATGTTTAATATTATTGTGAATAAAAGTAGTATTTTGATAATGTACAAATTTTAATACTAGACAAAGGTAAGATCACCAAAATCCATATGGTAAAGCTAGGTGAATGATGTTTTAAGCCTCTCAAACTAGATTTGTATTTACCAAGATGTGATAAAAATAAAGTTAAGATAACTGTGACAAGTATTGGATAGTAAAATTCTGAGAGGCTCATCAATAACCCGTGGTCCACAGCCTAAGAACACCAATGCATTTTCATTTGCCTCGTTCGCAAAGAAACTACAGAATTCCCAGTTAGATTTGAGTTTTAGATAAGCAGCTAGTTTTCTTAAGTTTAAGTGTGTTGTATGCAGTATTAGGGCCGTATTTATACTAAAAGTAATTCATTTGTTTTAAGTTCAGGTTTAACTGGGAGGCCTGTGATTTCCTGGCAACCTTAAAATACACTGGTATGAAACATTCCTTTTAGAGTTATATGGCTATTTTGATTGTGCTGTTTTGGTATGTAGGGAAGTAGACCAACTATAAGGCACAGGAGATTTCTAAACATTGTAGAAAGATGAAGAGATATATTTATTCTCATAGTACTTCCCCTAATAGTAGAATTTTGGGGAAAATTTTATTTTTATATAATTTCAGATTTACAGAAAAGTTTCAAAAACAGTGCAAAAAAATGTTTTACTCAAATTCATCGATTATTCCCATGTGTTTTACCTCTCATCCTGTCCCACGCTGGGAATTGAGCCCAGGACCTCAGGCATGCTGGGGCTAGCCCTCCACCCCTGAGCTGTGTCCTCAGGTCTTGCTTTATCTTTTGTGTAGACATAGATGCCCTGTTTTTATTTATTGTTTGAAAACTAGTCATGGGCTTCATGTGTTAACCCAAAATACTTCAGTGTAATGCTCAGCAATCTCCTAAAAGTGATTTTTTTGTTTTTCTTTCAAGGGAAAAACCAAACCTTACTAATCTGAGCTAAACTACTATAAGCCTTAGAATAAGGAAATATCTCATGTCCTAGTGACTTTTTTTTTTGCTTGCTTTTTTTGACCCGTGTAATCATAGGTTATACAGTTCATGTTTTTTATACATGAACCTGATTTCTTTTGCCTCCATAAAATGGAACTGTAACCTGCATAGGTTTTCACTAGTGGAAGCTTTTTACTGAGAACAGTATTTGAAGTGGTTTAAGAATTTATACCACGGGCTGGAGAGATGGCTCAGAGGTTAAGAGCACTGGCTGCTCTTCCAGAGGTCCTGAGTTCAATTCCCAGCAACCACATGGCGGCTCACAACCATCTGTAATGAGATCTGGTGCCCTCTTCTGGCTGGCAGTCATATATGCTGTATACATAATAAATAAATAAATCTTAAAAAAAAGAATTTATATCACATGGCAGTTATAAGTGCTGTAGACCTCAAAATTATGCCCCCTTTATATCATATATAAAGTCTGAGCGGTTAGGGCAGGTAGGGATGTCACATAAGAAAAGCAGAATTTCTATATGTAATGGTCAGAAATGTCACTTTACGCTGCTGTGTATCTTCTCTGTCCCTAAGATTTGGTCCAGTGCCAAGCATATAGTTGGTGTCTAGTATTTGTTGATTGAATGTGTAAGTATGTATTTAGTATACTTTATGTGAATGATCATAGAACTATGTTTAACAGTGTGTCCTCTTTTCCTTTCTCATTTCCCCCCTTCTTTTGAATAGGGTAACAAATGAAAGATGTCAACCCACTAATTAAATGTTTTCTTGGGGATTCATAGTACTAAGTGATTACCATACACAAGGTGTTTCAGCAGCCAGAGTTCTTAAAAACCTCACTGCTTACACTTGCTGCCTCCACTTGATTATCCCTGTGTCCTCTGTCCTTCCAAATGCGGTCGAACAGCTTAGCTCTAAGTCTGCAGTTAACACACACAAGCTGTTTCTTGATTTGAACTTTTCCTGCACTTGACACTCTTGACAATCTCTTCCTCCAAGTCCCTGCTCCAAGGTGGCCTTGTGTCTGGTTTGCTCCTGGATGCCTTTCCTCTGGTCTCCTCAGTTACCCTGGATGTCATTCCTCAGACTTCTTGTTTCCAGTCACTGCTTCACTTGGGTCATTTCCATCCAGTGATGCCCAACAGACTTTAGCTCAGACTTAGTGCGTTTTCCTGCTGGACTCACTCGAGTCTCCACAAACCCACTCCTGTGTCTGCTCCTTACTTGGTTAGTTTCAGAGCCATTGTTCTGTACAAGATTTTATAGTTCATTCCTCTTCTCCTAACTATTGGTGTCTGAGTTCTGCTGACTTTACTCCCATCTTTCTATCATTCTCTCTTATTTTTGTTACTGTTACCCAAAGGACTGCCCAGTCTATTTCCTCATCTCTGTGGCCCATATCACCAGATTCGGCTTTCTAGAAGCATTCAACCTAACACCCACTGGCAATTTTATGAGCTTTCTGGTGAGAGCTTTTTACTTGGTGTCCAAGATCCTTTTCTTGTCTTTGCCACTCTGTTCTGATAAGCGTGTTAAAAAAGTCCAGAGCTGGATCTCCCTCCAAACCATGGTAGACACCGTATTTGCATTGAGAAACCCAGGCTTCTTCCCCACCTGGGACGTTCCGTGCATTTTTGAAATTACACCTGTCCCCTTCCCATGGTCACCACTGTAATTGCAACCTACCTCTACTGAATCACTTATTGTACTGTATGTTTTACTTTTTTAAAGTGTCCTTTACTAGAATGTGAGCTCCCTAGGGGCAGGAAAAGAGACTATTAATTTTGGCATCTCTGTAGCATAGTGTTTGGCATATGAGCATTTAATAAATGTTTGTTGAATTAATTGCTTCACAGTGACAGCTGTGCCTCACTGCGAGTACCCTCACTGCCTTTGCTTACGGCAAGGGTCAGTAGACTTTGGGGTGGGCAATAAAGATGAAAATAATTTGAACTCTGGTGTGGTCTTGGTCAGTCATGAGTGGCGTCTACTTTGGAAACAAGTTTAAAGGAGGAGGCAACGTCACAGGAGCTTCTTGATAAAAGTATGGCTGGGATTGTAGACTAGACGAACTACAAGATTCTCAGGAGGAGGGAGATGTTATTAACTGTTTCGTGAGGATTTTTCTTAATGTTTGAATAAATGTCTACCTAATGACACTACCATTGACAAACATGGTACTTTATTTCAAACAGGCTGAAATATGTGTTGTCATCCAGATATAATTCATTATTCACTAAAAGGCAAATTCCATTTGTAATGAGGTTTCTGAAAGGGACTGAATGGATTCCATTAATGATATTAAGAAAACACACCTCCAGATAAAAGCACACTCATTAACAGTAGTGTTTTATTATAATTTAGTGAAACAACAAATAAATACATTCATTGGCCACAGCTATACTTTTGCAACCAGTTTGAAACTGACTGTATAGCTGAGAAACACTGTTAAACAATAAAAAGGCAATAATGCATAAAAAGCCACTTTAGCTATAAATTACATTGTCCATAAAACTACAATCAGCTACAATAGGTGGTTAAGAGTTTCAAAATTAATAGCAACCCAAGTGAAATAAACGATAAGAACAAATATTGCTAATCACTGTAGAATTACACACTTAAGCAATGAACTTGGATTTTCTAATTAATGATTGTGAGCAAGGGCTGGAGCTGTCATGTGCTTCAGTGCAGGTGGACGGGGAACTGGAGCCCTTTGACCTTATGAACAGCTCCCTCTGAGACCGAACTTAAAGTGCTGCTAGTGCGTTTGAAGTTTTAAGCAAACACTGGGGCAGATGTCTTCTTTGGTGATGTACTGTGAAATGTGTGTAAGGAGACAAATGGTAAGAATTTAGGTACTTTATAGGCCAGGTGTGGTGGTGCAAACCTTTAATCCCAGCACTTAGAAGGTAGAGAGGCAGGAGAATCTCTGAGTTCAAGGCCAGCCTGGTCTACACAGTGAGTTCCAGGACAGCCAGGACTACACAGAGAGACTCTGTTTCAAAACAAAGCAAAATGAGAATTTAGGTACTTGAGTCAGTGATAAATATAATAAACTAATAATAAATATCAAATTCAGTGTAGTCAACCAGTGCAGCGAAAACTAAGATACTTTATCTGAAGAGTTAAGTAATCTTTGTTTACTTTGTCAACCAGGATGTTTGTGTAGAGAAGCTTAATTAGAAAAAAATATCAAAGACAATAGTTAGATACTTAATTAACATCATCAAAATAAACACCTGGCATTCTGAGAAACCGAAAAACTGAAAAGAAATCCACAGCTGTAGACTATTGTTAGGTTGTCATCATAGTACCAAGGCTAACTTCTGTACTATAAAAGATTCATTTGTTACAGTAAGAACTTATAAACAGATGCTGTGCATTTATAAGTATGCTTCTGATTGAATTTAAAATCGGTTGTTCATAAAAAGAAGAAAAGTATTTGGCTTTGTACCATCCTCTCAAAAGATAGAAAGGATTGACAATATGTTTCTAAAGATTCACATATTATACTGTTGTGAAGTTGCTGCATTAGTTGTTAAAAAGCTGAAAGATTTTAGGTATGAGTACAAATAAGACAGTTTCTAGTCACAGTAGACAGAAGAGGGCAGCTGTGTTCGTCCCAGTTCCAAAGCAGCTGGCAGATCCTGTGTGGGGTCTTCACCTGTGTGACACCTAAGCTGCCTATCCCCTCGGAATCTGAGGTATTCAGCATCTGCTTTCCATAGAGACACAGGTAGAAAGTGCATTTTAAATGGTGTTGTCTTGGCCTACTGTTGTGCGTGTGCGTGTGTGCTTGAGTACACATGCATGCACAAGCACATCGCTTACAGCATGTTGAAGACAGTTTTAATGACATCCTAAACTGTCCCAATGTTCTTAACCTCTTACACTTCTCTCGTTTGCTTATTCAGTGCTAGAATTGATTGGAATTAATTTAATCTGACTTAGCCCATATACAAGGTATAAAATGTGAAAAATAAAGGCGGGATTATACATTTTATAAAGTATTGCACTTTAGCTCACTGCAAAATGTCTCATGATTTAATTTACCTGAGGACAATCTTGACTCAGTAGGTAGGATGTGCTCCATCTCTTTCAGATAAATTGAATACCTTTTGAAAGCATACCGTTTTTAACGTAGCACTTTTTTAATGAACAATCCCTCAATGCATCTGTAAACTTGTTTAGTTAGTCCCAAGAAGTTCTACTGCAACCCCTATGCAAAAGTCACTATTGCTTCTGGAAGAATCATGCTTCAACTGCTACTTACCTTAGCCATACAAAATAGCCACTTGACCAGTCCTACTCAAAGCCACACAGTCTCCACTGGCTTATTGTTCTCTTGAAGAGACTCCTCTGGCTTTCCAAAGAACACTGCCAGCCAGCAGCACCATGAAGGGTCTCCACTATCACTTGTTTAAAACAATGGAGTAATTTCAATTGACTTTTTTTTCAAAGCATGCTTTAAAAAACTGTCTTCAATGTTGCATATTTTTAAAAAGAATGATACACTTTTAAGCCTTAACTCTGTGCACTGATCATACTTTAAAGCTGTAATTGGGTAAGGATTCCATGTAGAGTACACCTTTGAATTTCTAGGTTTTGATTCTTGTGGAAAAACTGCCTTCCGATCTGGTATACAATAATATTCTGGCGTGAATACTCAAGTGTGGCTTTGGGGACTGCAGAGTATTCTTTCTGAACATAGGTAAAAGTGCAAATATGCAAATGTGCGTTGGACATTCAAAGTTAGGAGGTTCTGAGGTCATCAAGTACCTTTAGCATCTAATCTCTTTCTCCTCCAAACTTTGAATTTCACTATGCAGAGGTCAAAACAAACAGCTGTGTTTTGAGGCTCTCCACAAAACACAGCTGTATTTCCAGATTTTGCTAGTTGCAATAGATGATGCAATGTTGATGTAGATGCTTTTAAAGATGTTGAATACACATACACATTCATGAAAAACAGTTCAAGACTCCTGCTGTGGGGAAGCCCTCAGTTTTGTGGCGTTACATACAAGCTATGGTGATTCCTCATATCTAAATTACTGCACGTGAAGAGCAAAGGAGCAGTGTCCGTTACAGGTCCATTCAGTGGGGGGGTGACTGTGAATGTGCTGCCGCCACACCCCGTCATGGTGCCGTACCAGCCCAAACTCTGCGAGTTCGATAAACTGCAACAACAAAAGTAGAAGGCAAAGAAGTCAGAGGGCTGTGATTAGGAGTCACACTGGCATTTTGAACATTTCCAAAGAATTTCACAACACAGAAATATATTACAATAAATGTGCAAACTAACACCGACTTTCTCCACAATTTGATGGCTTCTACTGGATATTTCTGACTTGTGACACATATCCCAAGAAGTTTATGGCTCTGAGAAGTGGCAGAGTGTGTTCGGCTGTAATAATCTATGTGCTATGCTTTGCTCCGACACATCTGCATGTACACGTGGTTCCTCTGATCCTCATCACAAGCCTGTGAGACAGGCTCTGCTGCCACCCCTACTTCACAGAGGAGGACCAGCTTAAATGACGTGTCCAGGTGAAGTCAGAGGTACTGAAAAGGAAGCAAGCGGAAGACTGCTGTCGGTGTCCGACAAGGCTCTCTGATGGCTTTGGAACACGAGGGTGTGGGAAGACTGTTCTTTTTTTGACCTGGAATCACAGTAGGACAAGGAAGCAAACACACAGTGTACAGCGACCCTTCCCTGCCCGACACTGTGCACGCTCTCACCACCAAGAAGGGGGATGGTATGGCCCCACTTTACTCCAACATTTTTTAAAGACAGGGTGATAGACTGGCTTCAGGTCAGCTGACAGTTGTTTACAGCGCATGCTGTATCACGTGGTTAAGATCTAGTGGGTTAAGGCACAGTAGTTCATGATCATGTGCCAAATCACCTGTTTGGTGGGTGGGTTAAAGCTCAGAGTTCTTTTTCTTTTTTTCAGTTTACTTCAACACTAATTCAGCTAAGTGACTACATCTACCTTCCTTCTCGAGAGCTCCCCAGTCTTGGCAGGTCATCGTCACTGTCATAACGTCTTGGATTGTCGAAAAAGAAAGCTCTGGAGCTGTAGCTGTGGCTGCTTCCCATGCCAGCGGGTGCCTGTGGATGCAACGTTAGAGACCGGGTGAAGGCTGGAGACTAGGGTCTGTGAGTTTGAACCTCAGCCTTACTCAAAACAGAAACGCAGGCTAAATATTCCATGCTTTAAAAAAAAATGAGATTGAGCACTGGGGGATATTATGATATCTTACCAGATTCTGGTTTAATCTCTGTGCCCGGAAAAACAGTACCACTGACCATGCTGGTACGTGCTCCCACAGAAAGAGGACCATTCCAAAGACGATGTAGTCTCCTCCACTTCCATCTTCTCCACCAGCCTGTCCACAGAGCATGGCAGAGCAATTTCACACTGGTTTTATATTTAAGCAATCACCTGTCACAAGTGCTTCAGGCTGGGTGAGTTACATACAATAAGTATAAACACAAAAGCACTGGACTTTTCTGTATTTTGTTCATTTGTGACTTCTCATGTAATGGTTATTTTTTTTTCTTCAAGGAACATAGCAATACTTAAAAAAAATCTACAATAAGACAAAAATTTTTCAATACACTAGCTTAGAAAAATAATTTTAGTCCTTGGATAATGCAGAATGATGTCATTTGAGGCACCACAGTCTGAAGAGGGTTTAGCTATAAGGGATTACTGTTCCAGCTGCCCCACTGGCACAACAGCACCGTGAGTCAGGCCTGTGGAAAAATGAGACATGCTAAGTACATCAGCACAGCTGATTTTTAAACTACGCTTTGGGGCTACTCTACATACTGAAGTTGCTTCTGTTCTACCAGATGCTGGGGGAGGGGAAGCAGAGAAAGGAGTGAAGAGAATCTGCCCTATGGAGTCACATGTGAAAAGTCCCTCTCCTTAGCATGAGGATGAAAT